GGCCTGGCCGTGTGGCCGATACGGGCAACTCGTCTGCTCGCACGGCCGTGTGGATTTTATCCCCTGGCCGTGTGAGCCCTCGACAAATTCCACACGGCCAAAAGTGCAATTCGCACGGCCGTGTGGAATTCCTCGGCCTGGCCGTGTCGGCCAACACGGGCAAACTTTCACCTCGCACGGCCGTGCGAGCCTACCCGTGTGGCCGAGCCACGGCCTATATAATCGGCCATCACGGCTGACTTGCTAAAACACAACACCTAACAATGGCCAAGTGTAACCAATGAAAGGGACTGCAGTATAGTGGCACAAGTAATAAATATCGAATCCACGGGTCTCTAGAGTTACTATTACTCAGCTTCAGTTCATTATCTAGCAAACTAGATTAAGGATTGATTAACTAAACTATTCTACTAACTAAACTAAGTAAAACTACTAATTACAGTTTGGGAACTCACTTAGGTATGATTCCCCCTAGCTCCTCAATCAGGTCCAAGTTGTAATTCCTTTTGGTTGATTTACTGTTGATTAAACTGCGGAAGATCCGACAGTAGCTTGGAATCTCTTAAGCTGACCAAGCCCTCTCAGTCTAACTATCCGGCAGACGACTAGTCTTCACCGGGATAGAAAGCTGAAGCAATAAGCACAGAACTCCACTACTGGAATTGGATTCCAGTACAAAGCAGTAAACTGGCTAACTCTCGTATAGCCAATCTCCTACTACCGAATGATGAGACTCTAGCAACCTAATCAGATTCTATCTATCTCAGATTGCAGCAGGAATCAGGAAAAGTTGATCAGACTTCAATTGACTCAATAAACATGCATCATTCGATTATAATCAAACAATATAGCATCCAAAACTTCATACAAGAAAGATCCTAACTCATGGAACTAAGGTTCCTCAAAACCTAAGTGAAGGGAAGTTACTCCATAGAGAAGAGAGAGACTGCAGAAATCTGATCTAGATATTCAATCTCCATCTCCAAGCTTGATTCCCCAGCTCCAATGGCGAAGAAATCCTCCAAAATAGCTCCAAGAATGCTCCCAAGTCGCTCTCTCTCTCTAGGGTTCGTCCCTTGGGTGTTTGGGATCCAAAACCCAGCTCTCCCCCTTTCCTTTTGCTGAAAATCGGGTTTTAAACAGCAATTCCCGACTCACACGGCCAAGCCACACGGCCGTGTGGCTTTCCCAGCTGCCCGTGTGAAGGCTCGGTGATTTCCACACGGCCACATGGCCAGGTCACACGGCCGTGTGGGTTGTGCCCGTGTGGCTTGCTCAGCCTCTGTTTAATGCTTCGTTTCTCCCTCGTCCGGACTCCGAATCAGTCGCCGTTTGATCCCAGACGCTCGTAGTCTCGTCCTCTTTCTTTTCATGACAAGCTTGCATGATTCTTTGTCCATAAAGTGAGGTAGAAATCCATTATTCTTCAGGTCATACCCGAGTTTCTTCTCCCGAATCGTCAATTGATCTCTGATTGACTTGAAACTTGCGCCTATGCTTCACTTTATGTGCTAGGATCTGAAATGTGACAAAGGAATACAACCTAGCGTAAAATTGGCCAAAGACGCAATAATTCAAGCTCAAAAAATCAAGAAACAAAGGGGAAAACATGTGCAAATACCGAGTCATCAAATCCCCCCACACTTAACTGTTTGCTTGTCCCCAAGCAAACCTAACTCAAACCAATGCAGCTCTCCAGAGCTCTATAGCAACATACAACCCCGATCGTCAGTAGAGGATTTCCTAGATTATATAGTAGCTTACGAGGTCAACTGGTCTTCTAAGACGTTCCCTATCTCTCTCAATGCGAGTACTAGACTCAAACCAGGATCATGAGAAAAAGTAGAAGTAAGACAGTCAGTTCATGGATAAAGGGACTCACACCATTCAAAACCAAGGATTCGTTGTACCGGGGTGCTCTTTCACTTCATTTCACAGTTGGAACCCCTTTTTCACTTTCACTTTACTTTTGTTTACTTATTTTTTTTTCATTCACTTAGCGGGGGTTCCAACTGCAGTCTCTTTCACGATCGACCCTTATTAGTCGAGCAAGAGCAATTTCTGTACATCTGGCGCTCGCTAGAGTACTTCTTTTAACTCCTTTTCCTCAACTCGTGTGGAGGGTCAATGAAATTAAGGGGGGTCGGAAGCTCTATCCATGCCCTTAAAAACACATCCTCAAGTAGGCAAACCGTTCAACGGGTGGAAGTTTTACTTGTACTAGAGACAACTTAGCTTCACCTTGTAGGAGTACCCCACTAAGGATCACTAAAATCTCTTCCAAAACCCGATTTTGTGCAATGAACGGTGCCGCACACGTTGGGCTTACCCCATGTTTAAGATTTAATGATTTTGACATGGAGGACCAACTGCTTCCCATTTTCCATATGAGCACCCTGTTCGATACACGAGTCCATATCACAATCCACATAGAGTCACCATTACCACATGAATTCAACGGTCCTAGCTCCACTAATTCACAAAATCAACTGGCACAGCAGAGAGCTAGATAGGAAAAATCTTATACTTCAACATCCTCCATAGTGCTACACTACCTCCCTAGGTTGCACATTACTATAGAGACTGTCAATTCAAAGCATACTGAGCAGGCAATTTGCAAGGAAACACGTACTTGGAGCCCTCAAATTTAAAAATTTGGACAGTGGACTAGGCTCCAAGCACACAAACAGCCAAACATTCACCCGCAAACATAATCGAACACCCCCACACTTAAGCACGACATTGTCCTCAATGGAGGAAAGATAAGGAGGGTAGAACGAAGTTACCAGATCAAGGGTGAATGATGATGTGCGGGTCAGGCAGTGCATTCCAGGAAGAGAGAGTAATCAGAACACAAACACCACACAAAATCTCACAAAGGTTGAGTTATTGACTCTAAAATCAAATAACAAAACTGACTCAACCGAGGAGAAATAGAGAAAGAAATGCAAACCGACTGGTTGGGTTGCCTCCCAACAAGCGCTTCTTTCACGTCGTGAGCCGGACGATGGCTCCTAAGTTTCGGTCCATGCTAGAACCTCCTTGAAGTTGAGGTTCTCGTCGATGAGGTGGAGTCTCAAGTCACGAGCATCTGGTGTGGCAGGTGATGAAGGCTCATGTACTTGATGCAGATGAAGTCTCCACCCTCGAGACCTCTTCTTCTCTTCTCTCGTCTCATTGCCCCAAACCAGATATGACAGCATCGACCGACCACCATCGCGTCCACCAAGAGGGACCGATGTCGATGTGGCCTTGGTCTGGCAAAGAGACACTGCAAATGGGTCCTTGCCAAGCAGTTCCTCAAAGTTTGGTGGGGATATTACTTGCAACTCATGGCCGGTGCATGCCTCTTCCACCTCAACTTCATCCTCAGCCTGGACGCCAATTGCTTCCTCAACCCCCCTTCCTTCTTCAAAATGTGGTCTCTCCCCTGGGAAAAGATCAAGAACCACCTCTTCTTTTCTTTCTTCCCCATCATCCACAACTTCCTTCCTCATCCTTGCTCGCTCTTCTTCTTCTAGAACAGATTGGAGAGCAAGTCGCCAAGAAATTTCTTCAATGGGATCATCTTGCATCTCCTCGCACGGGCCCATCATGTTAGAGCATAAATGAGGAAAGGTGTGGTCTGCAACCAAAGGACTTTCCTGATCATGGTTATCATGGGAGTTCTCTGTGATAACTTATGTATGCTCCTCAACGCTCCCATAGCCTTTGTCATCCTCCACCTCTTCTAGCGTGGCAGCAGAAAGGTGATCTTGAGCAAGATGTGAGCAAACTTGCTTCACCCACTCTGTTTGCTTCGCTGAGCGCTGAACAGTCTCCTCCATATCATGGAGAAATGAGGGATCGGAAGTGGCAAGGGCTTTGATTTGAATATCCATCTTGGAGCATGATTTCTCAGTGTCTCGAGCAAACTGCTCCACGAGAAGCCTTAATTGTTCGTTCGGATCCTCCAGTGAAGTGTAGTATGGCTCTGCAGAGTGGCCCGTGAAGGCCGCCATGGGTAACTCCAGCTCCGATGGCCCTTCTGGTTGTGGGAGAAAGTCTTCTTGGTAATGAGGTTGTTCTTGAAATGCCCAGGGGTCTGATTGTTCTCCGTAGTAAGGGGGTTGGTACTGGAACCCGAATCCATAGTCTTCTCCTCCTTGATTGCTGTAGGGAGTCGCGGGGTAATACCACCCGGATGGTGGTGGATACCCCCAATGATTGGAGAAGCCATTAGGATCCATGATTCAGATCTGCACCCACAAAAACAAAAACACCCAAGTGAAAAGCAAGGGTGGAAAAGAAAAGAAAAGAAAAACGCTAAAGTAACAAACTTCTGCCTTTCCTAATACTCTAGAAAGTCCCCGGCAACGGCGCCAAAAACTTGACTCGCTAAAACACAACACCTAACAATGGCCAACTGTAACCAATGAAAGGGACTGCAGTATAGTGGCACAAGTAATAAATATCGAATCCACGGGTCTCTAGAGTTACTATTACTCAGCTTCAGTTCATTATCTAGCAAACTAGATTAAGGATTGATTAACTAAACTACTCTACTAACTAAACTAAGTAAAACTACTAATTACAGTTTGGGAACTCACTTAGGTATGATTCCCCCTAGCTCCTCAATCAGGTCCAAGTTGTAATTCCTTTTGGTTGATTTACTGTTGATTAAACTGCGGAAGATCCGACAGTAGCTTGGAATCTCTTAAGCTGACCAAGCCCTCTCAGTCTAACTATCCGGCAGACGACTAGTCTTCACCGGGATAGAAAGCTGAAGCAATAAGCACAGAACTCCACTACTGGAATTGGATTCCAGTACAAAGCAGTAAACTGGCTAACTCTCGTATAGCCAATCTCCTACTACCGAATGATGAGACTCTAGCAACCTAATCAGATTCTATCTATCTCAGATTGCAGCAGGAATCAGGAAAAGTTGATCAGACTTCAATTGACTCAATAAACATGCATCATTTGATTATAAACAAACAATATAGCATCCAAAACTTCATACAAGAAAGATCCTAACTCATGGAACTAAGGTTCCTCAAAACCTAAGTGAAGGGAAGTTACTCCATAGAGAAGAGAGAGACTGCAGAAATCTGATCTAGATCTTCAATCTCCATCTCCAAGCTTGATTCCCGAGCTCCAATGGCGAAGAAATCCTCCAAAATAGCTCCAAGAATGCCCCCAAGTCGCTCTCTCTCTCTAGGGTTCGTCCCTTGGGTGTTTGGGATCCAAAACCCAGCTCTCCCCCTTTCCTTTTGCTGAAAATCGGGTTTTAAACAGCAATTCCCGACTCACACGGCCAGGCCACACGGCCGTGTGGCTTTCCCAGCTGCCCGTGTGAAGGCTCGGTGATTTCCACACGGCCACATGGCCAGGTCACACGGCCGTGTGGGTTGTGCCCGTGTGGCTTGCTCAGCCTCTGTTTAATGCTTCGTTTCTCCCTCGTCCGGACTCCGAATCAGTCGCCGTTTGATCCCAGACGTTCGTAGTCTCGTCCTCTTTCTTTTCATGACAAGCTTGCATGATTCTTTGTCCATAAAGTGAGATAGAAATCCATTCTTCTTCAGGTCATACCCGAGTTTCTTCTCCCGAATCGTCAATTGATCTCTGATTGACTTGAAACTTGCGCCTATGCTTCACTTTATGTGCTAGGACCTGAAATGTGACAAAGGAACACAACCTAGCGTAAAATAGGCCAAAGACACGATAATTCAAGCTCAAACAATCAAGAAACAAAGGGGAAAACATGTGCAAATACCGAGTCATCAACGGCCGAGTGGTCAGAAATTTGAAAATCCTCGCCGGAAAACCGCGACAAAACCACACTTTTCAATTTTTTCGGCCATTTTTTGTCATTTTTCCACCAAACCAACAACAAACCCACCCTTCCTACACCAAAAGCGGCCTATCCATCCATTTTGAGCAGATTTGGCCGACGTTTTTGTCGCCGGAGGCGATTTCCGGCGAGACTCCGGCGAGGCTCCGACGAGCACTTCCGAGCACTTTTTCGGCGTTTCGTCGCTTCCATCGTCTTCTCCTCATCATCCCCTACACCTCTACTTGAGTCTCCAGGTTTGATTTTGCCCTTAACTATGTTAATTGTGGAGAATTGGGTGTTAGGGTGCATGTTTAGAGAGCCTCATTGAATCTTGTGATTTTTGTGCAATTGATTGAGGGGAATGCATGGAGTGTGTTTGAATTGTGTTGGGCAAAGTCCCTCTTGATTTTTTGAGCCCTTGTGTGCAAGAATTGTGCCAATTTCATGCTTACCTTAATGGTGCACACAAGGTGTTCGATGAAATACCTGTTTTTCATGATATGTTGTGGGCACCGGTTGTGGCCCTTATTGATGTGCTTTGAGGGTGTTTTGGCTATGGATGTGAACCTTAAGCTGCCTGCTTTATCGTGAATGTGCACCCCCACTCAGATTATGCTTGATTTATCAAATTTTTGACCCCCGAACTATGGATGAAACCATGGCTCGGCTGTTTTCAGTTCTTAAGTGTGGGGGTGTAATTGACCCTTTCTTTGGCTCTTTTGGTTCCACTTTGGGTTGTTCTTTTGCAGGACAATGTCAAAACCTGACCTCAAGCACCCGTTCATCCGGGATTTGAAGAGGGGGCCCGCCCAGGATCGCTTCAAGCAGGTCCTGAAATGCCCGTTTGGGCAGCACCATTGCTGGTCCAAACGGGAGTTTCGGACATTGCACTGCTACGAGCAACTCTCCGCCGCCGTCACCAACCATCCATGGCGCCGTCTGCTCTCCATCTGCGAGAAGGTTTACTATGAGCCCGTGCTTGAGTTCTACACGACCTTCAAGCACACACCCACGGACGATTGGAGAGACGGTGCAGCCGTCAAATTCAGGCTAGGCGGTGCCCCACGGTTCATGAGCTACCACGAGCTGGCCGAGGCTCTCGACCTCGACGACGGTGCGGACTACGTCACCGAGGTCAACGACCCGCCGGAGGTGGACTTCAGGAGGCTGTACACCCGCCTGGCTCGGCCAGGCCAGACACGTCCCTTCTCGGCCGGGAGGACGAAGGCCACTACACTGCAGCTCGACAACCGCCTTCTCCACCACCTGCTGGAGAAGTCTTATACTCCAGCTTCAGACAGTGCCAGCACCATCACCAAGAGGGCCCTGTACCTCATCCAGTCAATCCGTCAGCACGACCATCCCCTCCACTTGGGTTCGGTGGTGGCCAGGACCTTCGAGAAGACTGCTTCGGAACTAAAGAGTCTCCACTGCACCCCCCTCATCACCCTCCTGGCCACCTACTTCGGCCTTTCCCTGCAGGGGTGCACACAGCAGGGGGACACCATCGTTTTTGGCAGGTCGACGATCAAGCACATGCACCTGCTGCGAGAGAACCGCGACATTCTATGGATCGAGGGGTTTCCGGAACCTCAGATCCCTGCGGAGGACCAGCAGGAGGACCAGCCAGAGGTCCAGCCAGAGGGCCAGGAGGATGAGGCTGCTGATCATGTGGAGCCCGAGGATGTGGACACTGCTGTTGATCCACCACAGACTCACTTCCATTACGAAGGTGGCAGCTCCATTTTCCCGGGGCAGGATTACTTCACCACCCTGTTCGAGCAGCTGCGTATCCAGAACCAGCAGATCCTCGACCATCAGATGCAGTTCCAGCAGCAGTACGCGGCTCACCAGGCCGAGTACCACCAGAGGATGGCTGTTTACGATAAGAGATTGGACCAGATCCAGACCCAGCAGGGAGTGACTCTCGCACACGTCGAGCGAGAGAAGCGCCGTTCACGGCTCATGCGGGAGGTCCAGCAGCATTTACTCTGGCTGCTACCGGGCGAGCAGCCCGTTTGGAGGACTCCCTAGGAGGACTCTCCACTTCCACCTACCCCAGCGGATGGTGATGATGGTGCTTATGGTGATGACGCCTTCATGGACGACATCGACTTTGGTGATCTTGGCGACGAGTAGGCTGTACTCGTTGCCCATCTCAGTGTGTTTTGTTTTCCGTATTAGACTTTGGTGTGTTTGCTCCATGTGTGAGGAGCTTGAACTTAGTGTCGTTTGTTTTTGTTTTTGTTTTTCTTTCTTTTGTGGATTGTTTTTGTTGTAGCCGTCTGGGCTAACACTTATCCCTAACACAACGTGTGCTAGTGTGTTCTTGGTGTTCGATTCGTGCAGAACTGTCCATCTTCCCATTTGTTTCTTGCTGACTGGTCCACTTCCAGTCCCCCAGCAGTTTCAATCCGGTAACATCGTTCCCCTTATCTCTCCCTCTACTCCATTGAGGGCAATGTCGTGCTTAAGTGTGGGGGGGTGCTTTGTATCGGTTGGAATATATATTTGGGTGCTTGGAGCCTAGTCCGCTGTCCGAATCTTATGATTTGAGGGCTCCAAGTACTGCTGTTTGATCATATTGGCACTGTGTTTTGATTGGTGAATTGAATGGTTTTCGGATTGATGCATGACAGCTTGATAGTGACTAGGACAACCTATGATGAGGACGGAGACGTGCAGTAGAATTGTGTAGGGGTTCAGTTTTTCAACTGTTTGCTTACCAACTATGACTTGGATTGATTACTTGTTCTTGACAGTCATTTATGCATCTAGTTCAGGGTATCAGAATGTGAGATAGAGCATATAGGTAGCCATGTGAGATTTGAGCCTGCTCGTTTCTTTCTTGTGCGATAGATCCCTCTTCCATGATGTGTAGCATTCACGTTGTCACTAGCTAAGATGATGGGGGCATAGGATTAGCCCACGACCAAATTTGACTGTCCCGATGTGTCATATCCCGTAGTCAGCCCTTTTGAGCCGTGTGTTATCCTTTCTTTTGGTCTGAAATGAAAAAAATTACCCTTTTGCATCTTTTAGAAGGTTCCACAGAGTGGTTTTTACATATTCTCTGCTGTTTCTGCTAAATTTGATATGAGTGTTGGAGGTAGTGCTTAAAAGTTGGGTTGGGCATGTGTTTGAAATATGTGCAGAAGTGGTGTCTCTCTTAAGAAATGAAAAGAAAATGAAAGAAAAAAACAAAGAAAAATTGAAAGCAAAGAGAGCCACTACCAAAAATCTGAATAATGCCCAGTAAGTAGTGTTTTTTAGCAGTCTGGCTTGGAAATGCTGACATTTATAACTCCTTCGCTCTTGTGCTCTTGAGATATTGAGTAATGCAGAATAGCAGAAAGGAAATATCGGTTTGTTTGACTGTGATTGTGTGGGTTTGGAAATGTGGAACCGTGTGCTATGAATACTTCCACCACCTAAAAGGCCTTTTCCCCATGTCCAAGACCCGAGCCAGTCATTTGAACCTGTGTCTAAGACCTCCTGATTAGTTAGTGGTGACACCCCATATGTGAACTCTAGCATTTAGAGGCTGCCATCATGGTGAAGAGATGTTAGGGATTGAGAGAAATAACATGCGCATTTTTCGCATCAAATTGTCCTGACCCCACTGGTCGAGAGTGAGTGATTCATTTTCATATTCTATATACTTTTGTACCCCGGTGAGGACCTAGATTGCTTGGTCTCTATTTTGATGTCTTGAGTTGGATGCATGAGTTGACTGTTTTGAGTAAGTGGTTGAGTCAAGTCTAGGTTGGTTGGTGAACAGAAGGGAGACTCTTCCTTTACTCGATTTTGCTGCACTCGAATGTCCTTTGTGGTGGTTGTCCAGGTTGCTATTGAAGTGGTCAGGTATTGATGTTTGAAAACCAGTACGATTCACGTGTTCTGTGCCTTTATGACTTGTCCCTAATGTTGGTTGATTGAAAATGTAAGCTTACCTTGTGTCTGACTTGGTTTGCTTGGGGACAAGCAAACGGTTAAGTGTGGGGGAATTTGATAGACCGTTAATTACACATGTTTTTACCCCTGTTCTTACACCGTTTGAGGTGTTGATTCTCGTGTTTTAGGCCAATTTCACGCTAGGTTGTGCTTGTTTGTGATATTTCAGGTCCTAGTACGTGAATGGAGGCTTGGGAGCGAGTTTGGGGTCGATTGGACGAAGATCGGACGCGTGGCGAGGTGCTAAGGAAGCCGCACGGGCATTCCTGGACATCATGATGCCGTCCAACTCACATTTGTGGCCGTGTGATTTTCGTCGAGAGCAAACACATGCATGATGGAAATCCCACACGGCCGTGCGACCCTGGCCGTGTGGGAAGCCTGAAGATCGAACTAATTGATACGCCGCGTTTTGACTCACACGGGCAAGTGGGTGAGCCACACAGCCGTGTGACCTGCCCGTGTGAGTCGGGAAATCTTGGTTTTTCAGCCTATTTCGAGCCAAGAGAGAGGGGGATCGGACTTTTTGAGCAAAAACAGAGCCCTGGAGAGAGAAAGTACGAAGAACACATCCTAGAAGCTATCTTGGAGCTGGGTTTCATCGAATCGAGCTCGGAGATCGTCCTAGGAGTGGAAATCATCATCCCGGAGCAGATTTTCCTCATCTTTATGAGTATGACTACTCCGATTACTGTTTTCCTCTCTCTCTCTCTATGGAGTAGAACCCCTCTCTCACTTGGGGATGAAGAACCCTAGTTCTATGTGTTAGGGATTGATTGTAATGACTTGGGATGATATTACTGTTTGATTTTAATCGAATGATGCATGTTTATTGAGTCAATTGAAGTCTGATCAACTTTTCCTGATTCCTGCTGCAATCTGAGATAGATAGAATCTGATTAGGTTACAAGAGTCTCATCATTCGGTAGTAGGAGATTGGCTATAAGAGAGTTAGCCAGTTTACTGCTTTGTACTGGAATCTAATTCCAGTAGTGGAGTTCTGTTCTTACTGCTTCAGCTTTCTATCCCGGTGAAGACTAGTCGTCTGCCGGGTAGTTAGACTGAGAGGGCTTGGTCAGCTTAAGAGATTCCAAGCTACTGTCGGATCTTCCGCAGTCTAATCAATAGTAAATCAACCCATGAAAATACAATTGAACCTAACTAAGGAGCTAGGGGGACTCATTCCCGAGTGACTATTTCCTGCTTGAGAAAACCGAATAATTTCCTGTTTTCTTGCTGCTTTTAGTTTAAACACAAATCACTCGACTTAGTTGGTTAGATAATAAATAATCACGGAGTAAGCAGTAGATCTAGACCCCGGGTTGATAATAGAACTTTCCTGTTACTGCATTCCCGGACTGCGATTACACTTGGTCGCAGTTTGGTGTTGTGTTTTGGCGTGTCAAGAGAGGTGAAGAAAGTGGAAGAAAACACCCTAAGTCGCCGGAAAACTCGCAGCCGGCGACCCAACCTCGGCCAAACAAGCCCAAATCTTTGGGGAATGTGCTCCTCGACGCCAGGAGCGTGGGGGCGGTCGCGGTTTGTGATTTGGAGGTCGGAAGAGGGAGTTATGGCCGGAAAATCGAAGGAGAAGGGGAAGAGGCCGAGTTTCCGGCGAGAGAGGCGGCTGGAATTTTGAAAAAAATGAATCTGGTGGGTTTTGGGGCTGAAAATCGACTTTTATAGGGGGGAGGCAAAACACAGGCGGGCTGGAACATGGCCGTGTTCGGCATGTTCCGCGCCCGTGTTTTTACTGCCGAGGCCGTGTTCAACACCTTTGAAAACACGGCCGGGCTGGGACCATAACACGGCCGTGTTTTGGAAGCCCAGCGCCCGTGTTTTTACTGCCGCGAGCAGTGCAGGCCAAATTCCAAAACACGGGCGGGCAGGGGGGAAAACACAGCCGTGTTTTCCTCCCCTGGCGCCCGTGCTTTTAGTGCCGAGCCCAAACTGCCTTTTTTCAAAATTCCAACTTCAAACCACCAAGACTCATTCGTGCCCCGGCTCTAAAATTTACCCAATTACACATTAAAAAGAACCGCCCGAGGCACAAAAAACTTTCCAGACAGACTCAAAGACTCAAAAACCGACAAAAAATGAAAAGGAAAAAGGATAGAAATGCAAACCGTGGTGGGGTTGCCTCCCCACAAGCTCTTCTTTACCGTCTTTTAGCTGGACGCCAATTGCGGAACTAAGGGTTCGCGAGTTCCACTACCAACTCCGCACGTTCAACCTCGTCTCCCAGGTAGAGCTTGAGACGATGGCCATTCACTTTAAATGGCTCAGTTTGCGGGTTGGCAATTTCAATCGTGCCATACGGGAACACCTGGGTGACTGTGAACGGTCCAGACCACCGGGAACGGAGTTTTCCGGGAAAGAGCTTCAGGCGAGACTTGTAGAGGAGAACTCGATCACCAACCTGAAACTCTTTCGGACCACGCAACCGTGCATCGTGCAGGCGCTTGGTGCGCTCCTTGTACAACTTTGTGTTCTCATAGGCGTGGTAACGCCACTCTTCCAGCTCCAACATCTGCATTTTGCGCTCAACACCTGCAACACTAACATCCAAATTTAGCAGCTTAAGGGCCCAGAAGGCCTTGTGCTCTAGCTCCACGGGCAAATGGCATGCCTTTCCATAGACCAGCCGGTACGGTAAAGTACCAATGGGCGTCTTGTAGGCAGTGCGGTATGCCCATAGAGCATCATCGAGCTTGGAGGACCAATCCTTGCGGGATAGATTCACCGTATTCTCCAGGATACGCTTGAGCTCCCGGTTCGTCAGCTCGGCCTGACCACTTGTTTGAGGATGGTAGGCCACAGACACCTTATGAGTTACACCATAGCGAGACAGCAACTTATCAAACTGGCCCTGGAAATGGGTGCCTCGGTCGCTTATGATGGCTCTAGGTGTCCCGAACCGGGAGAATAGCTGCTTCAGAAAACCACAAACACGTTTAGCATCATTAGTGGCCTCTGCATGGGCAGAGATGTTACCTGACCTCTGCATCGGTCGCACCTGCGTGCGAAGGTGTCTGCGTCCTTGAAGAGCGTGGGCCAGTAGAAGCCCGACTGTAGCACCTTCCTCGCTGTGCGGTTTCCTCCGTGGTGACCGCCAGTAGGTCCTTCATGACAGTGAGATAGAATGCCCTCCATCTCACTCTCCATAACACATCGACGGATTATCCCGTCTGCTCCGATCCTGAAGAGATGAGGGTCATCCCAGAAGTAGTGCTTCAGGTCGGAGAAAAATTTCCTCTTGGCATGCGTTGTCATCCCCTTGGGCAGCTTCTGGCCCACCAGTTCGCAAAATCAGAATACCAGGGGGTGACACTCTCCACCAGGCACATCATCATCAGTCTCTCATATGGAAAGGAGTCGTTGATCTCCTCCTCGAGGTTGTCCGCAGGGGGTGCGTCCAACCGGGAGAGGTGATCGGGTGCAACATTCTCCGCTCCCTTCTTGTCCCGAATCTCAATGTCAAACTCCTGCAACAGTAGGATCCATCGTATGAGCCTAGGCTTGGCATCGGCCTTGCTCATCAAGTATCGAATCGCGGAGTGATCTGTAT